GGCCATTTTGTGCTGTTTTCGAGTGCTGCGAACACATGCGGAGGCGATTCATTTGGGTTTGGGTGTGTATGTGTGTGTGTGTGTGAGTTATTTTATTTTTCCTTTTATTTTTATTTTTTTTGTGCTCTGTGGCGCTTGGTGGCTTGACAACAGCTGTTTATGAGCGAAGTGGATTTATTGAAACTTTGCTAAGATTTCAAAACTTTTTCGATGATAAAATCAAGAAAATTGCTCGCATTCCTGTTAGGCTGCAATGATGTCTGCCGCATTTTGGGCTCACCCAGGCCAGGAGTGTTTTCTAAATTTGTCGCAACGCCACGCCACGCAACACTTCCCATTCCCATTCCCATTCCCATTCTTCAGTGCATCCATGGCGGAGTGTAACTAATTTTTCTTCGCGTTGCATTCCAACGCTGACTTCCTCCTTGGCACCTTGGCTGCGCGGGTACAACGTTGCGTATGAGCAACAGGGAATCGCGCGTATGTATGTAGCTGCTTTGCTGCATATTTTGCATGCACACATTTTATTGCCTGCCGCCTCTTCCATTTGCCTTTACTTTCGTATGTCGTTATATATGTATGTATGTATGTATGTACCTATGTTTTGTTGCATTTCACCTTACTTTTTATTTATCCTACGCTTTGTTTGTGGCATTTTTGTAACTTCTTCTTTTACTTGCGCTCGTTTTCCTCACTTTTTGCTGCCGGTTGCTTCTGCCGTGCGCCTATTTGGTAGCTTTCAATCAAAATCTCCGCTCATTATCGGTCGCATGCCATGCATCCCCCATCCCGCAACCCAACGTCCCCAGCCGATTGAAAGCCCCATGCGATTGAAGTTCAATGCACATCATTATCACTCGCAGCGACACGCAAGGGTAATTTATAATTAGCCAAGTGTTTGTGGCTCCACATCGATTTTGTGGCCGAACTGTTTTCTTGCAATTCACTTTTTGTGTGCAATCCACTTTCGCTTACTTTTCAGCTGTTCGTTTTGCAAATTCTTCATTGTTTTCGAATGTGAAAGTGTAGCGGCGTTTAGAAGGAATTTGGCAAGAAATTTGAGTTTTGGTGAAATTTAATGTGGAAATTTCGTTCAAATCCAAGTCTACTGAGAGTTTTCTCGTAGTTTATTCGACAACAACGACCGGCAACAAAGATGCCTGGAAGAATCAACTTCTTGAGTAGCTAGACACATCTAGCCAGAATTGAGTAATGACAGGTATAGGCTCCGTTCTTCTTTTGAAACAACTACAGCCAAAATTGTAAGGACGATGCGTCGTAGAAATCGAGAACGTAAAAAATTTCGCTGTCGGTGTAATGCCTGAGCTTAACTCAGCCGGCGATGTCTGCATCAATACTTTTTTTTTTACAATCTGTCGGACTTAAGTTTGACAAAGGATGTAGTTGAGGGCGGCTATTATAGCTTAACCTAACCTAACCAGGTTTAAAATAATAGATGATCTAAGAATACCGATGTCCCAAAAATATTAGGCTCATATGTAAATACATATGTATGCTATGCGCAATTTTCATACAAGATGTGAATGTGAATTTCTGTTATTTTCGAAGCAAAAGGACTATGTTAAAATGCGTCTGTAACTCCCAGCCCTCACCCGATACTCACCCTTTGGCGCAATTCACGTTCGGCTTCAAGATCATCTTGGAGCAAACGGATTTTATCCTGCAAGTAAAGCGAAATTTGAAATGCTCACATTATTAAGGATATTTTTATTTATTTCTTATTTATTTTTTTAAATTGACGCGCGCGCGAAGTGAATTATGAAATTTATTTTTTGCACACTAGCACAAAATTTTGTTTTCGGCTTCTTTGTTTTTGATTATTTTAACAGTTATGTATGCAAACTATGTTTTTTTTTATATACAATCCTTTTCACAAGTCACCAGTTTCCTTTTGATGTATTTTATGTACTACTTTTTAAAATAAGCCACATGTATCTATGTACATCTACCTAAATATATACATACATACAAAGTTCTGCGTCTTTTTTTAACTCTTTCGCGTACCAAAAATATACGCGCACATATTTCACAGCGACTCTGCTTGGCGTTTTTCGTTTTATTACATAATTCGTCTAGCATATGCGTACCTTCGTATAGAGTACATAAGCATATACATATGTACATATATACATTTAAGAGTACATAATTTTAGTAATACATATGCACCTTCTTATATTTGTTCGATTTTTTTCAGTCTACAAATCCGCGCGTGCACATTTTTCGCTTTGCTTTGCAGCAAAATTTTCAAATTTCAGGTTTCTTTTCACACCACTGTGCCGAAAATAGCCGAATGTACGAAGAAAGGCTCGAGGATCAGTTGGACACTTGAATTACAAAAAACATTTTTGCACAAATTTCGCTCTAAAGAGTTTTGAAAGTGTTTTTTTTTTGTATACATTTTAGATTTTCAGTTTAGCTTCAATTCGAGTTTGAATTGATTTTTCATTAATCCAATATTCTTTATTTTTTACTTGTCTCTTTATTCGTTTTCTTATATGTATTCCTTTCCGTTTTCGACGCGTGTCTTACCTCCAAACGGGAGAGGGCGGCCAAATCAGAGCTGTATTCAATGGAGATATCAGCTCCACTCGGTCCAGTTGAGGTGGCCCTATACGAGTATTTCGATGAGCGTACTGCTTGCGACGAGGACATTTTACTTTTTTTGTGTTTTTTTTTTGTTGTAAATTTAATTTATAAAATTAATTAATGAATAATGAAAATTATTATTTATTTTAAGTTTTTCACTCAGGTGAACAGTTCGTTCGCGCCCCCGCGTTTTGTGTCTGGTTGTTGTTGTGTGGAAAAATTTCGATTTCCCTGCAATGCAGTTGTTATCCTCCAGTAACAAAAATTTTGTAGGTGTGAGACTAAATCAGAAATTATTTCGCACTCCACACACAAAAGTTGTAGTTGTCACCGAGTCACCGAATAATTCGTAATAAACGTCGGAGAAAGGCTGGTGATCTACTGAACAAGAGATCCCGGTGTCGTTCGAATAAAGAGTATTTCGTAAATTTGGCGCTGGCAGCCGATCTTTTCGTCTATTTCTACCCCAACGACGACGAGACGTTGCAATTATTTTCGAGTGGGAATTTCTCGTCGGCGATCTGTGGACGTGTGTGTGTGTGTGTGTGTGTGTGTCCAAGTGTTGCTGATTGTTCTTGTTGCCGTATTTGAGTGGACTATGTGTACCGTTAGGCATTATACAGGCACACTTGGGCAGACAATTTTCTTGCTCATAGCTTTTTTGAATACGGACTAGGCGTACGAAAATTAAGTGTGTACGTGTATGTGTTTTTATTGAATTTTTCACGCTCCACTCACACCAGCTGTCCTCGGTAAGTGTTAATTGCAGTGAGTAGACGCAGGGCGCAAGACGAGCGTGGAAACTGTTCGAATCGTCGTTGTTGCCGATTCCATTTTCGAATTATTCGTTTTTCCATTTCACGAGCTGCTAACGTACATACTTGCCATACGAATTGAGTATTTTGGTGGCTAATGCGCTCGGGTCAAGTCGGTCATCTTGACGTGGACTACATATATTGAGCAATTGACATTTTTACCTGTAATTAGCGTAAGCGGCAGATGATTGCCGCGATGGCAAGGAGTAGAGGCGTCTGTCTGGTTGGGTGTGATATACGAATATTCGCTAGGAAATGGTTGCATGGACGCAGGCCATATGAAATCTTGTTGTTGCTGAAATGGTTTTCGTTGTTGTTGTAGCATTTTGAATTTATTTTTAGTCGATGTTCTGAAAAATTCATAAATCTGCAGAAAGGTTATGCTTCTGTACGGCTGGCAAATGACCAGAAGTTGAGGATTTGAATTTGATGAATGGTACGCAATGGCTCTACGTTATTTTACTAACAAAAAGTGGGTTTTAAAATAAGTACATATGTATGTATGTATGTAAATACATATACTTTCTTAGTTAAATCTAGAAAATGATAAAAATGTATCTCAAGTCCACAGTCGCGCTGTAGCATAGCATATTATCCATATCAGAAAATGGAGAGAAAAAATGGTCTTCATACCTAAAGCGGCAAAAACGTATATCATCTACTAAAGGCGTATAGACCAGCAATACCCGCGAGTACAACACGATAGGATTATGAAAATTGTATAACCAACTTGCTCGAAAACTTGCAGACACTTGTGGCTTTCGTCGAGGAGCGGACCTACACCAATAAACCCAAGGAAGCCATACGCACATCGCCAACAAATGTGCTTTGAATCTTGATAGCCATAACGCATCTGGACAGTTTTATTGAAAAAGAAGCCTGCGGGAGTATCCTCAGGTTACCGAACATTAGTCAAAAAAGTTCAATTGTTTGAACAAATTTCTATATAAGAATTATATTTTAAGTGTAGAATGCAGTATTAGATCTAGCCCTAAGTTTTTTTGGCAATACATTAAAACCAGGAAGTCTAGTTCTGGGGTTCCATCTGCTGTCTTTCTGGACGATAAACTAGCTACCAGTGCCTCCGAAGTGGTGAACCTGTTTGCGGATTTCTTTAAATCAAACTTTGTTAGTGATGAATCTGGCTCCAACTGCTCTCGCTCTTTTAAAGATATCTCGTCCCTGAATTTTGGCTGTTTAAGTTTGTCAGTGGAAGATATTGGGAAGGGTATTTTAGCCCTTAAACCCTCCACAAAAACGGATGATGATGGACAGTCAGTTGTGCTTCTCAAACGTTGTTCTGCTCTCACTCTGCCTCTCAAGTTAATTTTTAACAGATCGTTAGCCTCCGGTATTTTTATCGATGATTGGAAAAGGACAGTTGTTACTCCATTTTTCAAAAGTGGTAAAAAAATGATGTTGTTTTTACTGAATACTGTATTGCAGCGTTCTCAGCAGGGTATCAAGTCGATTGCATCTATACAGATTTTTCGAAGCGTTCGATAAAGTATCGCATACATTTTTATTTAATAAGCTGGAATATCTAGGCTTCCATTCAGTTTTTTTTTTAAGCTGGCTGCGTTCTTACTTAAGTAATAGACATTGTGTAGTTTCTGTTAATGGTGTCACCTCTGCACCTTTTATTGCGTCCTCTGGGGTACCGCTAGGTCCCTTGCTTTTCGTTTTATTTATTAAAGATATTAGTAGCTGTTTTTCTTTTGCTACCTTCCTTCTATACGCTGATGATTTAAAAATATATTCTGTTATTTCTAACTCCGAAGATTTACACAAACTTCAGGTCGATGTTGATAAATTAGTTAGTTGGTGCAGTGTCTCTAGTCTATCGCTTAACATTAACAAATGCTTCAAGCTCACCTATTCGAAAACACCTAACATTTTTCCTACATGTTATAGAATATACTTCAACCAGTTGAAGAAATCAAGGATCTAGGTGTTGCTTTTGATGCGCGTTTTACATTTTTAAGTCATATAGACTTTATACTATCTAAAGCGTACTCCGTTCTTGGCTTCATAAGAAGAAGTAGCTCAAACTTTACGGACCCGTATACCCGTAAGTTGCTATTTACTGCCTTTGTCCGTTCTATTTTGGAATACGCTGCGTTTATTTGGAGACCTTACCATCAATTTTCCATCGACAGAATTGAGCGTGTACAAAAAATTTTTCTAAAGTTTGCTCTCTCTTCCTGAGTTTCTCTGATCCCGTCCCGACCTATAAGTCCCGATTGCTTCTAATTAATCTTAAACCGCTAGAGACTAGAAAATCGATTTTGTCGCTGTCTTTTTTTGTTTGGTATTATTATAGGAGAAACTGACTGTTCTTCTCTTTTGGAAAGGATTCACTTTTCTGTCCCTTCCAGGCCTTTACGTAGTAAATTTCCATTCCATCTAGACAGATTCAGAACTAACTATGCGTGTAATGCACCTATAGCCCGTTCTCTTCGTGAACTCAATGAGGTCTCGAACTCTATTGACTTTGATTTTTCACTATCTAAACTGTGCTTTTCTGCTCAATTAAATTGTGTTTTATAGATTACCTTAGTCTTTTATAAATGGTTAGTTCCTTAGCAGTAAGTAGTCAGTAAGAACGATTGTTTATTGATTTCTAAATAAATAAATAAATAAATAAATAAATCAATAAAAAAGTTAGGGTATCTCCGTTCAAATACAATTTACGTACATTCGAGGCTCAATATGGCGGCATTTAGGAGCATGTCGATCGAGCCCCAACTACAACAAAGAAAAATTTGAATGCTAACTCGTTTAGCCTCTGGAGTTTCTATTTTCAAAGATCTTTGCACTTATGTAAATATTAATATGGCGACTCCAAAATGGAGACAGAAAGCTCTAAGTCTCCCACAAGAGATATGCTCCACTAGCAAAAAAAAAAAAAAAAAAACGATTTGTTGAGATGCGTTCAAAAATTTATAAATGCGGCCTGAATTTCTTATTTCTCAATTGTCTATAAGAGGTATCTGGGAATTGAATAAAAAGCAATATACATATATAGCGGTTATCATGACTTTTCGACACTCACTTATTAATAAGTTTTTACTATTTGTTTAATTATTTTTTAATAAAAACATGGTTCAATATGTAACAAAAACCGCATAAATGCAAGTATCAATCTCTGTGCAATATTTAAAAAAAAAATCAACAAACTTTCAATTTCACTATTTGGAGTTGTTTCAGGCACACCATGAATGTGCTCAAAATGTATTTGAAATCGGGTTTTCTAAATAATTTACTCTGTTTTACATATAAATAAGTACAAAATATCAGGTATACAACCCACGGCACGTCTACCACTAAAGATTTTTATTGCCCTCGTTCGTTGCTTATGGAAACGCTCGAAGTATTTGAAATAATTGCAAATAAATAAAGAAGAAATAATTATTAAAAAATATTATCTACTACAATAAATGCGTATGCATACAAACATTCGTATGTATATATGCATTTATATACACTCACATACATATGCAAAAATACACATTTTACATGAAAAACTTGGCAGCCAAATTTTCACTCAAATTTCCACATAAACGCAAGGAATTAAAATTTTCTTTCGCATATTCTTTAGAGCAAAGGAAAAATTAACTCAATCATGTGATTGCGTATCTATGTATATCTATGTATATATACATACATATCGTCGTTTAAAGTACAAAACCGCGTATCAACAAAATGCAAAACCGCTTATGTGAGGTTGCATAAATTATTTACTAGACAGAGCAAAAACACCCATATTTCAAAATGGTTCTCTTTTTTATAAAGCAATCGCCTTTCTGGCTAGTCTATATCAGGACGAATGGATAAGGATTGAGCCAAGAGCTTGTGTGCGAAAATCCGATTTTTGGCAGCAAATGTCAGTTAGGCGGTTTTGTACTTTAAACGACAATATATATATATGTACATAAATGTGTGGTACACCTGCATACATACACAAGCAATCGATTCGGAGCGCGAGTAAATAAAAACCACTGGTCATTCTGCTTGGGCGACCAATACAAACGCAAACAAAAGTATTCGATATTTTTAGCGACGAAAATTTTGGATTTTTTCATAAACATTTTCCACACATTTCACCTGAGTGCGAAGAAAAATGTATTTTCTCGATATCGTGGCACACGGTTACAAAGTAGTTTTTACGGTGTGTGTATGTATGTATTATAGATACACACCACACAATCTAGCAACTTATACTAACAATAAGTGCTGAGAATTTGCTTC